GGCCCCCGGCCCGGCCTGCTTGTAGCTGTTCAGAGTGGTTTTCCCGTTTCATTCTAGGCTTCAAATGTGCACGTTTTTCACGCTCCGCCCCGAGTCTCGGTGTTTGTTCCAGGTTTCTCCTACCCACCCTTCATGAAGCTAAAGATATTTCCTTTTAATCCTAAAACAAAACGGTGCGAGTTTTGTTTTCCAGAAAGGGTGTAAAAAGAACTTTCAAAGGACATTTTATACCGGAGGCTCAAAAATAAAGATGTCTCTATGTCTTATCATATAATAATATGGTTCCCCTGCTGGGCTTTCATCTCAGATCCTTCAGGCCTGCCCAGGATCCTAATTAGTGCTTACAGCTTCCATGAGAGTGCTATTATCACTGATTCAAAGGGCAGGACACTGGCTCTCCAAGATGTCATCGAATTCACCCAAAAGGTTTGGGGAATGAGTGATAGAAATGGCATATGGTCTTAAGGTTCTTTTTTTTGTTTTTTTGTTTTTTCAGTTCGATAACTGTTTAAGAATCAGCTGCGGAGCTGCCTGTGGGGGGCCCCTTATTGTGTATTTAAGAGGAGAGCTTTCTAACAGACTCATACTGGCCCCGGCATGTGCTCTCACCTCATGGACTCTTTCAGACAGGCCTTTAAATACGGCATCTTCCCCAGGTCCTCGGCCCGCGGCCCCCGATTCGCAGGCAGTACGCTCTGAATTTCCTCAAGGAGCTTTCGTTGCACGTGGGGATTACGGGATAAATTGTAGAGAATCCACAGTAAGCTGTTCGCTGTCTGAAAAACCAATGGACACAAACTTGAGTTTCTGCTACGAAACTGCCTTAAAACCAGCCTGAGCTGAACCAAAGGCGACACCTACCCCCTTGCTCTGAAAAATTAAAATAAAATAAAATAATAAAATAAAATAAAAATTAGTGATGCTTTTCACATGTCCTTGTTTCACATGTCACATGTTCACTGTGCCTTAAATGATTACCAAGTAGGAAAAGTCAAATTTATTTTATAAAACGTATCAATGAAGGATAGTTTCTTTATTGAGGGAATCAAAATAGAATCCTCTAAATAATTTGCCACATTAGGACACTTAAAAAATACAGTTTGGTACCAAAATGCTTTGAACACAAAGGAGCGCATGTAAAACCGGTGGAATGAGCGCCAGGTGGCGGACTGGGTCAGTGCCAATGTCAGGGCTGTGATGACGTTATCTTTACGCAAGTAGCTGCCATTGGGAGAAACTGGGTGAAGGGACCCCTCTCTATGTTTTTTAGTAGTGCATGCGAATCTATAATTATCCCTAAAGAAAAAGAGTTTAATTAGAGATTTATTAAAGACAAAAATTGATATAAAAATTGAGGAGAAAGGAACAGACACCCTAGGAGTGTTGCTATACGAGATTTATTTTTCTTTTTAAATTTTACAGTGCAAACGCACAAGAAACTGCACTTCTGGAATGTAAAAGAAAGGTTTGTTTTTGCCACACCCTAAAAAGTTACCACAAAAATATAAAGGCATTATCTGCACTCAGGGTTTCAGCCGCATGCAAAGAGCCCTTGTGGGACGGCGCCAGCACCAAAATAAGAAATTCTAGCATCGAGCTGAGTGCTTCAAGGTACCAGCCCGAGGACAAAGCTTGTGGCCTTTTAAGTGGCATCCTTTATTTCCTTTCCAGAGCAACGGGGAGAGAACAAATATTGGCGGAAACAGCCAAGTGCAGCTTTCAGCTTCATGATATTCACCACTGGTAGTCATGAGTATTTGTTTCTTAGGCTTTTTTTAAACTAATTTAAACCAAAGAGGCCCATAAAAATGGTCATTGTGTCCTCTCTCTGCAGACACCAAGACGCTTTGCTCAGTGCCGTGTGCCAGTCACATAAACGAGCAAAGTGCAAGGCGATTCAGAGCCCATGGCGTTTATTGTTTTTGGAAGAATATGCCCCCAGGGCAGGCTTCTTCCCTGTCAGAGGACTGGCAGCCTCGGCTGCAAATAAACTGGACGGCATTAGTACAGAGTCATTTACGGAACAGGAAGAGGGCGGAGCCGCCAAATTAGATGGACTTTCAAATTTCTCTGATTTGCCAAATGAGACTCTCAGAACAGCCAGGACTAAAAAAGAAACAGATTGAAGCATATCAGTGGGTCCCTCACCACAAGTACCGAATTGAGTTCCCGAAGGCAGATAACTGTAGCTCTCACCAAGGCCCTGTGAGACAGCCCGGCCTGTCAGGACAGCTGCGGGGGCTAAGCGGAGGGAAGTGGCCTGTGGCACCTCCCGGGCACTGGCTGTCCTGGCGTGACCTCCGTTGATGGGTCCATCCCTAGCTGGCCTTCCCGCTTGCACTCTCTCTCTGCTAGGTCCACACTCCACCCACCAGCCAGAGCCCACTTTACAAAACATAAACTTAATCAAGTTACTCCCTTGCTTAAAACACTGCAAGAGCTTTGCCTCACAGGTGTAATAAAATTTAAGTGCCTTACTAAGGCTCTTGGTTAACATGGCGGATCGGCTTCTCCAACCTCAACTCTGACCGCATCTGCTAGCTCTCCTGTTCCATCTCCCCTTCTGCCCCAGGGCCTTTGCATATGCTGTTTCCTCTACTCAGAGCGTTCTTGGACCAGATCTTCCCATGACTGGCTCCTCAACATTCCAGTCAGCTCCAGAGAGGCACCCCTCCCCCATCTCTGCTACATCACCCTGATGGCTTCCTCTGTGTCCTGTATCGCTATCTGAAATAATTATATGTACTTGTTTATTTACATGTCTTTTGCCTGTTCCCCACGCGGCATGTCGCGTGTCTGGAATGGTGCCTGGCACATAGTAGGCACTCCATAGTTCCTGAACGCTTTCACTTATTGAACAAGCATTTATTGAACCAAGTGGTATTCTCCATCCCACAAGTATTGCAGGGGACAAAACCAAGTCATTGCCCTCATGGAGCTCACATTCCAGTTGAACAAAGAAAAAGATGAAGCTTTATCTTTACCACTCTAAGGAGCCATGATCCCACAGGGAAGTGAGCTGAAACAGATTCCCACTTTTGACAGCCTCTGGATCTTAAGGTGACATCAGAACCTTTCTATATCCTGATGTAGAAAACGCTATTTTTCTTCAGACAAGAAACATTATGGAAAGGGAGAAAGCATGGAAAAGAAATGAACTCGTATTCATTCTTCTTAGAGATAATTTGCACGGGAAATGTTACGCCTACAAGGAATATTAATATGCGTCCCTCCGATGACAGCTCTAAAATGAATCAAAGCCAATTAAACCCGCCTGGACACTTGTCAGCGTTTGTGTTTGGGGTTGACTGTTCTGAGTACCCACCGGGAGTATCCATCCCATACATCAGGGACAGAATCTTGGTATTTAAAATTAGCCGTTGCATTTAAATTAAAATCAGCACGTCTGATTTGTAAAAATCTAGCCCGGCGGCCTCGCCGCGGTGCGGGGCGGCTGCTTCTGAACTCCCGTAGCAGTTTGCCGCCCTCCCAGCACCTTCCCTGCTCTGGCACCTCGTCCCTGCGACAGGAGGCACCAGGGGACTTTGTCTCCCGTCACGTTTCAGCATAAAGGCTGTGCACTGGGTCTCCCACGGCACCCGGGGCGAGGCTTTTTATTTTAGTTAATCCTCACGGAATGAGTGAACTGAGTGACTGTGTAAAACTCATCGGGATAAAAGGTGTCGCGTTGCTTCCCGAGCGAAGGAAACCCAGGCCCCTTACCGTCTCCACCGCGGCCAGCTGGAGCTCGGTGACAGCGGCGTACAGCTCTTTCTTCGAGAGCCGATGGCGGCGATAAATGTCACAGAGGAAATCGGCGCCGGGCCGCTCCGCGTGCCTCTCTAACCGGTGGTCGATACAAGACTTGACTATTGGAGGAGAGAAAGGGGAGAGGAAGTCAGCTGGACATTCGGAGGAGGGGAAAAATGAGAGGGAGCCCAAGACGAGGCCCTTACGACGCGGGAAAGGCCTTTCTGGGGACGGTGACATCGTTAGATGAGCTCATACTGCCTCGCTGAGTCTCAGGGACGGGTGGATGCCCATGGGAGCAGGGCCCTCACAGTGCACCTTCCTACAATGCAGACGTGGAGTCGAGGGTCCAGGTGGGCCTGGAAGTCTGCATTTCTAACCAGCTCCCAGGCCATGCTGGTGCTGCGGACCTACGGTCACAGCTTGACTAGTAAGAGCTTAGGGTTCGGACGGGATCCTTAGGAGACAGGAGTGGGAGCCAGGCCCACTCTCAGAATCAGAACGTGGCCCCGGGTCCACGTGTCTAGCTGCCATGGTCACTAGGGCAGGCGGACATGCTAACACAGGGTGCGGCCACCCAATCTTGGCAGTAATGGGGGGAGAACTCCCTCTACCCGTGTTATCACACACGCACACGCACACACACACACACACACACGAATGTGGTGCAGCGCCCGTGGATGTTGACAAGGACAGTAACCTTTTCTAATGTTTGTAAAGGACATTCTAGGCTGGGTCTCCCTCACTAAAGTCCATGATGGGAGCCACCACCAGGACAATAATTGTGGTGATGGCGGTGGTAAAAACGAGGACAGTAAGTGGTACCGTGGGTGGAGCCTGAGCTTCGGGAGCCTTCCTGTTTGGCTTCAAAGCCTGGCTTTGCCGTCACCGAGTGTGTGACGTTGGGAACGTTACTTAACGTCTTGGTGTCTCAGTTCTGTTACTTGGGGCTGATAGGAGGATCTAACATAGGTTTTCTGTGGGAATTAAATATGTGTTTAAATATACACACTATGATATATTATTTTATCATAGGATAATACTTAGCATCAAATATTCCCTCCATATGTAGCAGAAGTAGCTCTGATCCACTGAGAGATTGTCACATGCCAGGCTTTTAGATTATCTTTACTAAACTTAGAAACAGTTACATTGAGGTAGGGGCTATTATTGTTGTTGTTGTTGTTGTTATGAATCCATTTTAGAGGTAAGACAACTGCTGATGAAGAGGAGATAGCACATTCGGCTGACCCCCCACACCAGGGACGGACCAGGGACTTGAACCCGGGCGCTTCTGACTCCAAATCTTAGTCCCACTCCTAGTTCCCCGCGACAACAAAGCACTGCCCCGTGCTTTTTCCTTAGAATGTGTCTGCACCGGGGCGATTCCCCAGCTCGTGTTGGCAAAGCCCGAAAGAATCAGGAGGAGCGACTCCATGAGAGGACCGAGGTGGTCAGGCCAAGGTCACTCCCGACCCCTGGGCGGCAGCTCAG